CATTAGTTTTATAGTAATACAGATAATAAAGTTATATAAAAGTTCTCTCTCTCTCTCTCTCTCTCACACACACACACACACACATAGAAGAGAGAATAACAGTGAGTGAGTGAGTGAGTGAGTGAGTGAGTGAGTGAGAGAGAGAGAGAGAGCCAGACAGCTGACACATACCTTCATAAGCATAGCGCCGGTAAGCCCTCCAATGGCGGCGCAACTAATTTTGCCCAAAAAGAGCACAAAATCGCCGACACTGTTGATGGCGGCCACACGTAAAGCGTTGGTTACGATCGCATTAAAGGCTATCTGAGCGGACGGGCAGAAGTCGCGGCCCTCAATGGCAATGACGGTATAGGCATTGCGATTGAGGTATTTGATGAACTTCTCGATCAGCCATAGGACACAACTACAGCAATAGACAATAGCTTTGACGAGACAGTTGTCAAATCGGCCTAACTTCTTGTGCAGGTATGTCAGCACAAGTCGCGGCACTTTAAACAGTGTGATCAGGAATGAGCCCAACGCTACCGATCCCAAGTGGTAGCAAATGAGGCGCTTAGTGGACACACCGATCGGGAAACCCAGCGAACTCTTGTCGCGCGTGAAGTACCACTGACTCACAGCTCCTGCGAAACACACAAATCATGTATTAGTGGATCAAATGGTGTGATAATCACTCAAACTCTGGCGTCTATACCGGCGATGACCATCTGCTGACAGGACAGTATGAACTCCGAGGTCCAGATGAACGCAATCAATAGATACCACCACATGTACTGCACCCACGAGGGGTCCGTGTAGTCAATGAGGGTAAAGGAGGCGAACCGGGTCTGCGTGGACTCCATCTGCCGGTCGGACAGCCTGAGCGCCGACAGTTGGCGCTTCTCCTGTTTGGCGTGCTCTGCGGTGGCCAACGCCAACAGCACCGACAGCCAGAACAACAGGAATATTAACAGCGATAGGAGTGTCCAAATGGGCTGCAGTAGTATGAGTGGCATCGCCCGTATACAGGCGGCCGCCTCCCGGAACAGCGCCACCACAAACCGCACGCGACTCCTAAGCGCACACGTGATCAGCAACAGGATCACCGATACTATGGTGGTTATGATGGCTATCCATAGGACGATCGTCTCATTGTCGGCGTCCTCCTCGAGGAATGGTATGGTTTTCTCGATGTCCAGTGCGTTGAGGTTCAGACGGATGTCGATGTAGGCGTACCAGAAGAATACGGTGAGCGCTGTGATTGTGATGATAGTAGATGTGGTGGTCAGTGGGGTGTATGGGTGGGTTTGAGGGCTTACCTATAAGCGCGAGTGAGACTACGGTGAGTATAACCCAGGAGGCGATGCCGGCGATGAAGTGTATGACAAACGCCGAGAAAAAGGCGAATATAATGGACACCACCACTGATAAGGAGATCTCTTTGTAGGCGTTAATCAAATCGTTGATCACTTTCTTGAGCGGCACGTAACTCGAGATGAACTCATAGACGGTGTGCCCGAAGGCCTGGCCCTGAAGTATGGCCACCTCTGGTATACACCGGTAGAGAATGGCTTTCCTGTAGAGTGTGAGAGATAATAAACATAATTAGTGGTAAACTATCGTTACATTTAAGATGACTGTATGAATGAAATGAGTGCTAACGTTGGGTGGACGGGTAGCTTAGGACAGGGCCCGGCGTTGGACAGTCGGCTCATGTCCTGATCGTTACGGGAGAACTGGCGCTCCATAGAGAAGGATGCGGTGGACGTGAAGTTGTAGTCATATCTGCAGAGCGAGGACTGGGTTCGCGTATAGAAGGTATAAATGTCTGCAATATTCTGCATCTCAGTCTTCGGGCACTCCTTCACGCATATCTTAATCGACTCCTGAGGGTTGCTTTGGTCCAAATGGAACAGATAGCTGATCCACACGTTGGACAACACATATACAGTGAAAGGAAATACATATAAAAAGCCGTATATTCTTAAGGGAATGGTAGGGAAAGGGTGTGTCTGTGTGTATGAGCCCAACCCCAATGTCTTAAGTGAGTAACTATGGTATGAGTGAATGGTTAGTGTCTTAAGCGAGTGATTCGTACGGTTTGTCAGTCATGTCGAGGCCGGACAGCTGGAGCTCATCCATGTTGTCATTCTTGTGGCCACAGGTGTTGCCGAATGAGTCCGAGCCGTGGATCAGACGGGAAGGGCTGCCGATCACGAATGCAAACGACGCGATGAAGATCTGATCCATAAAAAGGAGACAATGAAGTCATATATAAATGTCTTATAAGTGATCCACAGGTGGTGTCAATGGTTACCAAAATGGCCCAAAACAAGAGGAATATCGTGAGACACAACAGATCCGTACACTTCCGCGGCTTATGAGTGGACGAGATGTCCATCTATTAGTTGATCCAATGGATAAAGACATGGATTAGTGGTCATTGAATTGGTTTACGTATTGATATAATGAGTGGTAATAATGAAAGACTCGATGAAATACCTCATCGGTTGAGAAACACTCGCAAAATGTCATCACTTCTTGTGGCGCTCGACCTGTTTCGGTGATAATCGGGACAAACGTCGAGGTCTTGTATACGAGTTATAAAATGTATTTGAATTGCATTTTACGGCAACTAATGGTTAAACTGATTGTAATTAAGGCGTGAATTGAATGGGAGATTCAATTGACATTCACTTTGTGTTTGAAAAAAGTTTTGTGTTTTTGTTTGCCTCACAAATGCTGTCAACTGGTGTGCATTCGTACACACATTACGTCCCATTAATGTCATCAATATTGCTGTTAGAATCGGATTCATAGGAATTCCGGAATTCATATCCGGAATAATGCTTTTTGTAAGGAATTCAGTTTATTTTGTTCACGTTTTGTAATGTTTTTTATATTAACTCTGTCTAGACTTTAATGTAACCGGATCGATAAATAGTTTTTTAAATATTTTCAATGATTATGATATTATAGTATTTTTAGTGAAAATGTTTTTAACGTGGATTTCGGTGGGAATGAGACAAGAATTTATTAATTAATGAATTAAACTAGCAATTATATTAAGTAATTTTTATTACCTAAATATGTTAAATATTTTAAAAATGTATCAATAGCTTATATAGTATAATGTTTGTAGTAGTATGAGAGTTTATACAGTTCAAGTTAAATTGACTTTGTCGTATAAACTGATAAGTTTAGCATATTTTTGTTGTTTTTATTAAAAATAAATATTCTAAATAAAGAGTACATTAATTAAAGCAATCAGTTGTTTAAATATAAGTTTATTCAGATAAAAAATTGTATCAATTAACTTAAACATTTTTTGTCTAGGTACATAAAATTGATGAAAAATAAAAATTATTATTAACATAAGTATATCTGGTAATTATATGCATAAACTATCACTAATGTACCGGTATGATATAGTTATCATTTAAAATCTAAACTAGGAATTAATAAAATAATGATTTGAAAATGTTGCTTAATTTCGTTATGTTATATCGTATATACTATTAGCTATAGTTTGACTATCAGTGAATTTGCAGAATATTCTATGAGATTGTGGACTAATTTTGCGAAATATGGGTAAGAATTGTGTTTATAATTAATACATTATAAGTTTTTTTTGTTAATATACGATATTTTTATTATAAATATAAAAATAATTTTAGTGAATCTATGTTAAAATATAAACAAATTATATTACTAATTCCTATGTTACTAATAATTATATATATTTGTTTAGAAAACCTGATTTATTTGGAAAATGGCCACATTTTATCGATAAGACAAAAATCAGTATTAAAAACATGAATCCCTTGAATGAAGACCTCCTGAAGAGTAACCCGTTTGAGAAAACTTGCGATCAGTTTTGGAAAAATTATTTCTAAATATATTTTATGACTATTAATGTTTGCAAAATGTATCGGTAGAAAATAAGTTATTTATTTATTTATAATCAGTTGTTCAAATATTGAGTGTTGCTATTCCCATAAATATTATTAAAACAAATTATCTAATCATTTATGCGATGATTCATGAAATCAATGAAATATTTTCATATAAATTTATTTACATTTATATTTTATATACATTAAGGGCTAAAAGTCCTTAATGTACTACACAGTCAACATTTAATACTAAATAGCATAGTGAAAATGTTGTTTAATACTTGTTTAATTTCTTTGGTTTTAGACACAATTCTTAATATTAACTGTGGTTTTGCTGAAAGTACTACACATTTAGAAATCAACAGTTATGTTGACGTGAATACGAGCTCCGGTATAGTGAGGGGACAGACCATACAAGTGCTGAATCAGACAATCAATGAATTCTTGGGAATACCGTTCGCTGAGCCACCCGTCGGTGACCTCAGGTTTGCTAAACCAAAAGCCATTGAAAAGCCAATCAAAGTATAAATTAACTTAATTTATCCCAGCTGAAGTTTTATAAGTTCTTTAAGTTATATACAGTATAATAGCATAGTGTTAAAGCACTAGCTAAGCATATCTGCGAGAATATACATAAACCGTAGATAATTAAACCTATTACACCTGTTTAAAATAATTATCGTGATATTTTAGGATATTATCGACGCAACGGTACCGAAGTATTCATGTATGCAACAAATATCTCCCTTTTTTAAAGGGAATTTTAGTGAGGATTGTCTGGTATTGAACATATGGGCGCCACCGATAAGTGATATA